CTCTACTAAAAAACAATAATTATTATCAATACTAAAATATTCAATGTCAATATTGTTGCCATCACTATCATCACCTCGTTTATCATTAGTACGATACATAAGCCGACGAAATAATTTTCGACGGAATGAACTTTTGACAAAATGAAACTTTCGACGAAATGATTGTCGGTGAAATAATTGTCGATGAAGTGATTGTCGACGAAATAATTTTCGACGAAACAAACTTTCGACGAAGTAAACGCGACCGATATTAAAAGGAAAATCTTGATATCTCAACTGACCCTTTTAACTTTAACTCTCTAATTATTATCTTTATTGTTATATTTACTATTATTTGTTTCAAAACACATATATTGATTGCTATCTTTATATTTTATAACTATCAAAAATATCACTATCATTATCGTCGTCATCAATTATTACCAAAAATGACTTGAATTTTTACTGCCTTCTGTTACATTTTGAATTGCAGTTCCTCGGGCAAGTATATCAATGGAACCTCTACGTACAGGAGTGATAAATGAAGCCAAATTTATAGAGACATCATTTTCAAAGGATTTCCCAACCCTGACAAGTATAAGCAAAACAATTGGGAAAAGGAAATTTACCATTTTGAAATTGATGGCAAAAGTGCATCATTTCCTTTCCAAAATGCATTTGCTTTGACAGTTCACAATACCCAAGGTTTAACCTTACCACACATAACGCTAAATTTTGACGAAAACATGTTTGCAGAAGGTCAAGTATACGTTGCGATGAGCCGAGCCACTTCGCTAGATAAGTTGCACATCATCTTGGGATTTGACCATTCCTAGCTAAAACTCTCTAGAGCAAGCCTTAGAAGAATATAAAAGATTGGAAGTTGTGAATAACAATGGGTTACAATTGTTGCAATCATTATAAATAATAACACCAACAACAATAAGAACAAATGTTATAAATAATAATATGACAACAGCAAAAATGATAATGGTCTTCTATTTCTTTTTTCCCTCCACCAACATTTCTCAAAGGTTCATATGCTGTTTGTTCATAATTCAGCTGTTATTAATTATACTGTCTTTTGATTAGCTCCTTTTTTAATAATACTATA